CGTATCGTAGCGTTTTACACAAATATGCCAAGTTTAACAACAGGTTGCATTGTAAGGTGAAACATCAGAAAGCCAGAGTCTTAGAGTAATTATAATTTTTAAGCGATCCTTCCAGATTTTAAAGTCAAATTTCATATCAAACTTATATTGTAGGTAGTATATAATTTCACGTTTACTAAAAAACGCTACGAAACATTTGCATCTAACTTCCCTGGTATCTGAAGCTCAAAAAATAACAAACGAATCCCATTTGTTCTCCAGTCAAAAAATTAATATTTAAGACATTTAAGATTTTTTAAAGATATTTTTATTTTATTAATAATATTAATAACAACATTTGTTATGACTATACTTAACAGTACTTAACTTTATTATGAATGCAATTAAGCTTTTCAGAAAATTGCTAGAAAACAGGCCATAGACAACAAATCACAGAAAAAATCACTGTATTTGTATTCGACGAACTGTGAAATATAAACACAAATCCGAACAGGCGGCAGACAGACAGACAGACAGACAGACGTAAACGGGAGACCTATTTCTTCGTACTCTAGAAGTCATGAAAGGTCGAGAAAACATAAAAGTATTCGTTTACGCTCGGGAAGTAAAAAACGTGAAATTAGGCATTAGTGATAATTAGAGAGCGGAAAATATGCAGCAAAATTTTGGGAAATATGATCATATGATATGCACCAAATTTATGGAAATATGCAGTAACTTTCTTAATATATGCAGAGATATGCAGTTGCATATGCTTCAAAAATTAAAAAAAAAGCTTAATAAGAGAACTAAATGTATTTACAAATCACAAAAACAGGTTTTCCGAGCTTACGTTTTATTACAAAAAATACATAAATCACATTGCAAAGTGTTTAATTAGATCTCACTAACACATAAATCACACTTTTACTAAAAAATAAATACAAACAGAACAAATTAAACAATAGTAGTAATCGACTGTTTAATTACTATTTTGGTAACAATTTGTTTTTAAATATTTTTCGAAATATTCTAACAAACAGTTTTTCCTGTGATTCTATAGTATGTCTTTGTAAACAGAAAAATTGCGTACCACGTCCACAGATGTAAAAATACTTACCGGTCTAGAAAAATGAAAAATAATAGGATAACGTCCCTCCAACCACCACAAAACATACCAATCATACCATTAATACACTGAAGGAAGGAACAAAAATATTGGGATGAACTTATTTCCAAAAGTAATTAGGGCGCGAATTTACCTGGAAGGATGGCTTAACACCCAGTGGTTTCTTCAAACTACCATAAAATCCAAACTTTTCCTAGTTATTTGAACCTCAGGACAATATTTGCAATATGATTTATGAAATTTCGTCTTTCTAGATAAATGTCGACAGAATGACAATCATTTTTTTTTCAAAGTAGCACAAAAATTGATAAAAATGCAAAATATGCACCCGTTACGTGAAATATGCAGCAGAAGGCAAATATATGCAAATATGCAATTTTTTTATAGCTGTATTCTTTTTGAATTAGAATGATTCGTTCACATATTAAATATCAAGACTTATAAGTATGCAACAAATAACGGATATGCAAATTTCATAAAATCCGCTCTCTAGTGATAATAATCCTATTAAAATTAAACACAAATTGTGACAGATTCACGGTGGATTTTAACATTCACTTGGCATATGTTCGACACTATGGTGTTCACCTAAATTTATACCACACTGAATTGCGTCTAAATCCACATCTGTAAATAGATACAATTTTGACACAAAATGACATTTCATTGTCGTTAAGTTTGGTTTGCCACTTTACTTGAATTTGGTGGCAAATACTTGTTTGTTACACTGACAATCAAAAACTCTAAGCTGTGAGCTTTACTTATTTTAAACTTGCCATCGGTTGGATGACAAATTAAAAAAAAGCTTGGAGGTTATATCGACAGAACTTCCGTTACCCCTGAAGTTTATTAATATTAAATATAGGCGGATGCAACATTACTATATTCTCAAATTTTAGAGAAAATGAGATGACTCGTTCTTGATTTGATTAATAAAAAAATTGGTCTAAAGAGTTTAGACAGTACTTCCCTCGCTGTCGGAAACGTGTCGACTGCATGCCTATTATGTTTTTTTTCGCAGTAAATTTCAAAGCATTCGGTTTTGTCGTTCCTGAGTAAATCAATAAAATAAATTTACGCATTCATTTTTTTTTTGAGTCACCCGGTATATGCAAATCCAAAAAATATGAACGGAGTGATAAATCACAAGTACAGACTCATCATATTTTGTACATTTTAGATCGGATTTATTCGACAAACTTTTGAGCTGACGTCATCAAGTTTTTGGAGGGGATAACCAAATCTATTTTGACTAAAAATTTATGATGCTTTTTATAGCCTTAAAACATCTGCAACATTTCAAAGCATTCGGGTTAGCAGATTCAAAATTAAATTGCAAAATGTTGTTTTAAAATTTTTATTTTTTTTTTCCAAAAATCTGGACGTTTCGGGTAAAAACTCAATTCGGAGTCGTAAACTACATGTGTAGGACTATGTTATTTTATACAATTTAAAACCCATTTACCATGTACAATTTTGAAGCGACGTCATCGCATTAGTGGTGGGAATGATTAGACAAATTTTGATTAGCGTTTTACCATCTACATGATATTCCTAATATAAGTACAAAATTTCACAACAATTGGTCCAGTACTTTCGGAGATTATCCGTCTAATAAAAATCCGGGACTGCAGACAGACGGACAGACGGACAAACGGACAGACGGACAGACGGACGGACAGACGGAAATAAAAGATCTATTTCTTCGTCTTCTAGGGGTCATGAAAGATCGAGAAAACGTAAAAGTAGAGAGTCGGCCGACGAACTCGATTACAATACTTCCTTTGCTTACGCTCGGGAAGTAAAAAATGTAACTCATAAGTCAATCGAACAAGCGACCTTTGTGATAGTAAATCAACATTTATTTTATCGCAGGACTAACAAGTCTACCAGACATCACTGCTCTTATATTGGTATAAAATGTGATGATTCAATTTAGTAGTAGTAGTATTTCGACGATTATCCGACTAATAAAAATTGACACAGACGGCAGACAGACAGACAAACAGACGGAAACAGAAGAATTATTTACAATATCCCTTAGCTTACGCTTGAAAAGTAAAAAAAATCGAGACTTGAAATTTCCGTCGTCTAATATACAACTGTCAAAAGTCTTTAGTCTAGCCCTAATTTTACAGTTTTTATGTTTTCTACACAATTGTTGAAAACTATACAAAGTACAAATCAGTAATTTTGACTGAAACAAATCGAATAACAGTAGTGGTATGTGCCTGTCAAATAAAGTGTCAAATAATTCAAAAAATTCATAGCTTTCCAGACGACTTCTTTTTTTTGTACGGTATTTCGATTAGAAAGGAGTATACTAAGTATTAAAATAAAACATATCTTCGTGTTTAGAAAATAGCCAAAATTTTTATGCTCGAAAAGATAGACAGTATGAAGGAACTGAGCAGAATTCAAGTTTTATGATCGAGTATTTAATTTTTGATTGCAAGCTTTCAGAGTTTCTAATTAAGAAGCTTCACCGAAAAGTGGACCTTAAAATACAGCCTTGTTTGTGTTTCAGAAATATAGATTATAGTAAGTATTACATAAATGTCTAAAAAATATGTTGGCACCGATTTATTTTTCCGATTATTTCAAAAACGCCTCACTTTATTTTCGAAAAATTTGGAAAAATGTAATAAGTAGTGTTACCATATGGATGTCACTTAACATATTTTTCGTCATTAAAAGAGTAAAAACGAGGTTTCAAATATTGTTAAACAAATCTTTACTCATTATCCTAAAATGCGGTAGTGGTCCAGCTTCGATAATATATTATATTATTATTATTATTATTATTATAAGTTAACAAAAAATTGGGCAAGAAAAATTAATTTCTATGAGCCCAACGTTATAATAGTCTATTATCGGGTGATATGTATAAAATAGGTAGACAGATATATATATGCTTATTTTTTGCAACCGTTTGTACAGTGTGTTTAAAACGATCACTACAAACTATATCGATGCGATTAGTGTTACATTGTCCGTACAAAAATTAATATTTATCTCTAGCAATTAGTTCGCGATATACACATATTATTAAGATCTATATCAATAGATGTTTAGTTGAAAAAGTCATGTGTTCTATTACTTCAGACTGTGATAATTGGCATTTGACAGAGTTATTGATAAACGTTAATTTTATGTATTTTATTTTTGGCTTATTGTAGTCATACTTCACAATATGTACAAAACTCAAGGCGAACTTGATGACGTTTTCAATTGAACACTCGATATTTGTTCTATTTTGTGTCTTGCAATATTAAAGAATTATATTTAAAAAAATATCAGAATCTTTGCCTCTACTGTCAGTATCGTTTACAATTATTCTTTGACTATAAGAAATGATAATATGTTAAAGAAATTCAAGTAATCTTTTTTTATGTGACATTTAAATATTATACTATACTATACTGCTGTCACTAGATTTTAGTCTAAACAAGTTGAGTGTGTAGTATAAAAACATTCAATGATGCGAATGCAGATACTTAAAAAAATGTTCACTCGGTAGAAAATGCCACGTATTTCTAGTTTTCAAAAGAAAATAGTAGGTCAGTTTTTAAAAATATAGAGCAGCAGAAGATACATAAATTCATATACCTATTAATATACAAGATATTACCTTCCAAACAAGATCTGATATATCCGGTACACATGCAAAGAATAATTCAAGATTCTATTTTTCAGTTAATTAAATAATTGAAAGAAATGTCTTGATATATACAAATATATAAATTTTATATCTACATATAGTAGATAGTGAAATCCTTTTAAAAAAAGTTAGGCGCTTCAATTCTATATGTATTCTGATTAATACGCAAAACCGGTTGATTTATATGAAAATACTGTCGAGAATATCTTAATATTTTCTTTAAGAACTTACCACTGGTAACCTGAAGACATATAGCTTGGAGGCAGAGGATCGACAGAACAAAACTTCTCCCTGAGGTGTGCCGGTGTGCTGGGGCCATACTGTGTCCTGAAAGTAGCGCACAAAGGTTACAGCGTGTCGGCAGTAGTCATAATTTATCAATTAATTTACGACGAGTTGGACAGAGACAGTTTTTAGAGCTATTAATTTCAATCAATAGGGCGCGCAACGTATTTCCGCATAATTTATTCATTAACGGTTGATCCGAATGCGCTTTTAATACGAAAACCGCCCTCATTTTTAATACGCCACGAAATGAAATAATTGGATGAATGTCACATCTTCTAACGTGAATTATCACATCGACACCATCTGCAGCATCGGGAAACACTAGCACAAATATTGAACAATCGGGAGTTCAGTTTCAACTCGAAACAATATATAAACAGGACTTCTATTTGAAACAAGAGATCGTAAATTTTAACTTTAGATTGTACCTATTTGCTTCGTTTTTTCTGTCGGTTGCATGTCTGCCGCGATTTTGTATAAATGCGCGCTCTGTTTATGAAAGTCAACAAAAAAAGAGATTACATCAATATGAAATTATAATGAAAGCATGGGGAGTGTCAGAAGTAATTAACTTGTCAATATGTTCAAGAAAAGCAAAGAAAAAATTAAATTATAACTTAGCACCCTTCTGAAGATATTAAGTTAAGACTGACACGAGTTGTTTAAAGCCTTTTAATTATGCAGCCGACAGATTGAAGGTATAAAACAGACACGTCACTCAGCATGATGGTAGGTCAGTGGTTTATAATCTATTTACTTCCGTGTCCATCGTTAATTTTCATTTGCTTCAATTTTCACAAGGTTCATTTACATTCGCTACTTCTCATGATGGTAGTTTAATCCACTTGCTAGCAATTTAGACAGAATAGGAAAGCGTAATTTCGAAAAATGTGACATTGTAATAACAATATTTTTTGTACCTATTACACAACACGTGATTTGTGATCATTTTACAGTACAACTGATTACAAAATTCTAATCGGGAATTCGAAGAATCTAGCACTATAAAACCATTGAATTTTACTGCCTTTGGTAACTGTTGGTTGCATGTCAGTTATCAGTACCGATAACCACTAATTTGCATAAATATACTGCAGACAACTTTTATCTGTGATTTACAAAAATTTCCGTAGTGGCTACAACGTGTTTAATTTTAGTTCAAACACTGATAAGAGAATCCTGACCCTAATTTTGTATATAAATTACAAACACTATTTTTTTTTTTTTTGGAAATATCGCCTGGGGCGCCGTTATCGAAACTAGTTCTATGCTGGAATTGTTGAGATTGTCAATTATTGTATGTGGTAAAACATTTGTTGTCTTTCTAATGTGATAATAAATAATATGATAATAAGTAATAAAAAAATAAACTGAGTTATAAATGTGCCTCCTGAAGTACCATATTCATCCCGTTGTCCGGAACGGTAAATTCTTATTTCTTGTCTAACTTCAAATTATGAATAATAACTAGTTGGTAAAAATAGTAAAATAACTAAGTTTGGTTCAATTTATAAACAATGCAAATTTTTATTTATACGTAAATTATTTACGAGTTTCATTGTTGGTAATTATATAATTATAGCAAGAAAATATGTAAAAATGGTGGATGCGCCGGGTCAAATTGTAATTATTGACTTCAATATCTTTTCAACTCAGCGGCCTTATATATCTTGAGATCAGATAAAAACATGTAAATTCTGCGAATGCCATTGTTTTTAACTTGAAGGAGAAAGTTTCATTTAGTAAGTACATTGAAAATATAACTCATACAACGACATCGCGACGCATGATAGACCTTTAAATTACGATTAACCACAAATGTAGGCAATATTTTGTACATTTTAGGTAGAAATTATTTAGCAAAATTTTTAGATGACGTCATCCAGTTTTTGGAAGGGATAAACAGATAAATTTGATCTAATCAGCGTTTTACCAAGTTCAGGATAACCTTTGAAGAATTTAGAGTAGTCTAATATGAAATAGAGTGCCGTTATTTTATAAAATTGAATAGGATATGCTTAGCCAAATTGATCGGAATGATTTAGTTTCGCCTTTTACCATTTACAAGATATTTCTAAAGTACATTTAAAATTTTCTCAAACATACAACAGTCTAGTAGTTTCAAAAATTATCAAATAAAATCGCTAACTGACGACAAATATCTACGTTTTCATATTTTAGACGTTATATATCTATATCTATAAATATAAATAATCACGCGTTAGAAAATTTTATATTTTTTAAATTAAAGAATTTTGGCGCTCATAAGATAAAATGTTTTTATATATTGTTTTATTTTTACAATCAAAAATCTAAATATCACAAAAAATGTTGAAAGTGACCTCCATCGTGCTGTAAATGCGACCCAACAATTTTACAGAGGTATTGCGATGAATGAATTACTTATAGACAATTTATATAAACATTGCTGTATAAATCCTACTTGAATTTTATAAAATAATGTATTTGTTGTTTATTAAAACGGCCTTATTTGTTAATGTTGATCTCTACGAAAAAATCAAAAGTGTAAAACAGCATTTTACATTGATTACAATCTACAAAACGGACCACACTCAAATGTTAAAAATATTCTAAAGTTATCATGAGCATGATAAATCGTTAAATTAATTTTTTATTTACCCCATCCAAAAATTTGATGACGTCATCTCAAAATTTTACTACATAAAGCCTACATAAAACGGACAAAATAGTATGGGTGTACATTTGTGGTTTATCAGACTATTCATTTTGTTTTATAATAAACAGAGCAAAATATTTTTTTAATGAAGTCATAAATACGGTGTGATTAATATTAATATTACACTATCTACACCTACCCGAATTGATATATCCCCACTAAAAAGTTGATGACGTTATCACAGAATTTTGTTAAGAAAAACGTATGCATGGTAGGCTCTTTTCCCTATGGTTTAACAATCTACGCATGTTTTTGTTTTAATATGTTATAAGAAAATAAAAACAGAAGAAACATTTTAAAATGAATTAAAGTTAAAATAGTTCTGTTCAAAATCATCGAGTGTTTTAAACTGTTTTACAAGATACCAGAATACGATTCCGTAATTCGTTAACAGTCTTGTATAAACTAAAAACTGCAGAAAATAAAATTTGAACGATTTAATTTTTGAGACCGATAAAATCTTAATATATATCACATTCTATAACTTTAAAACTATGTGATTTTGCAAAGTTGTCGTTAGCACGATAAATCAAAATTTATTTCTATTTGTTCCTCCAAAAAATTGAATCACGTCAAAATCCTGTCTGTATGCACTTGCATTCATTTTTTTTTAATTCGTTATACAGGGTGAGCCAAAAAAATTAATGGCGTAATTTATTTTATTGATCTTGTCAAGAAAATCTGGGAATGCCGTCCGTACCTATCCAAATTTTAAACTTTAGGCGGGAAGTTTTGTGTAACTAAGTTTAGACCAACTTTTTATAATGCACAATAAAAATATTTCGTGCATTGACAGAATCTTGATTATTTGTAATTTTTTTTCTTAGCGCAAGAAATTATGAAAAAAATAAAAATGAAAAAAGTATTAGAATCTTGTCATACATAATCAAAAATTAGTCGAAGGTTATTTCGACAGAACTCCCCTCGCCCGTGAAGTACAATAAAACATATAGCCAGCTTTCCCAAAAAATTATAAAATTTGATTTTGCGTATCTCCTTTTTTTTACAAGAAGCCCTACAAGTTAAAAAAAAATATGTATGTATTGTTAAAGTAAATGTAAAGAAGAGTGCTACGGGTATGTTTCAAATGAGTTTATCCTTTACAAAATTTTGTGATGACGTCATCAACAGTTTTTGTATTGTACTCCCAAATTTTTAGGAAAGTGGAGTGACCTGGTGCTGGTTTAATCAATAAAATAAATTGACTCATTCATAATTTTTTTGAGTCACTTGGGTTAAGTGATTCTAAAAAATATAAATTCAGTGATAAATCACAAGTCTAAACTTATCATATTTTGCCACATTTTCGATAGGATTTTTTCGGCAAAAATCAATAAAATAAATTGACTCATTCATTAATTTTTTAAGACATTCTGTATAAGCAATTCTAAAAACTATCAACGAAATGATATGATATATCACAAGTATAAACTCATCATATTTTGCACATTTTAGGTAGAATTTATTTGAAACATTTTGAGATGATGTCATAAATTTTTTGAGAGAGGTGAACAAATAAATTTTGTTTAATATTTTACCCTCATTACGATAATCTTAAAATGTTAACAAAATTTCAGAGTGTTCGGTTCTACAATTTCAGAGTTAAATTGTTGTCTTATGAACATTTTACAATTTTCAAAAATCAAGATTGTATAAACAATCTTCATTTTCTTTCTGAAAATATGGATGTCTAGGGTGAAAACTCAACACAAATTCATACATCACAAGTGCAAGAGTATCTTATTTTATAAAATAAAATATATGTATATTGTTGTAAATTTTGTAGATGACGTCATGCCATTGGTGGTAGAGATAATTAGCCAAATTTTGGTGAGCGGTTAACCATCTAATAAAATTCCTAATGTACATACAAAATTTGACAAAAATCAGTCATAAAAATCCTTAGCTTACGTTCAGTTAATAAAATAAAAGTCAATAAACTAAAAAGTGTTAAATTAAGTTCGGATATATTATATGATAACTTCGTAGAAATTAGCAGTTTAAAAGAGAAAAAAATCTTCGGGAATTCTGTGCGTTCTTAAATTGAACTACGCATTACCTGTTGGTTAAAAATACTAAATTTCTGATAACTAACAATCTTCTATGAAAAAAATTAAAATTTTATGTAAACGATAAATTCCATTATAACGTGCGTGTTTTATCCCTCGTATATAAACAAAGAACTCCCCATAAAAAAGTTTTCAAGTTTTTCTTCGCTTAACTAATAAAACCGGTAATTGGGTAATCTCCCCTTTCAATAGGGATAGATTCGGCGTTGATTTAAGACAACCAAAGTGAACCAGTTTTTGAAAAGTTGGGACATTAATGAAATTAGCCCCAT